AAGCCCAAGTTCCGGGCCCGGAGTTCGGGCCGGCGGGGTAGCGTCCTCATTTGGGTTCCTTGGGGACTAATGGTAGAGGCCAGGCTCTGGGACCCGAGGAGGGGCCAGAAGAGAGAACTGACGCCCAGGGGCCCTGAGCTCTTGGATCGGGACCCTGGGTGAAGGCAGGGGGACTGGCAGGGCTGGTTTTTCGGGATCGGTCGAGGGAGGGGCCAGGGCCACGTGACTCTGAGTCTTAACACCAGCGCCCCCATCATCCCCACTTCCCCTTCTCCTTCCCATACTGGAATTGGAGCTGCCACCTCCGGGGGGGGGTCCTCGGGGCCGACGCAGTGGACCTGGGGAAAGGGACCCGAAGGGCGGTCTGACTCTTCCGCGGCCGGGTGCGGGGGAGGGCGGGGCATGTGACTGTGACTGTGCCTGCGCCTGAAGTCTCGGCTTCGCAAGGTCCCGCCTCTGGTTTTCCTCTATCGCCAACCTCTCTGCACCCCGCTTCCCGGCTGTGTGGGCTCAGCTCTGGGGGAAAGCGGCTTCGGGGGTCTCCAGGGTCAGGGTTTCTCTACTCCATCCCCCCTCCCACTGCAACCCTCTCTACTTCAACGGGTCTTGAGACGGCTTTGGGGGGGCTGTCTGGGCCCCAGAGGGGGAGACCTGGGGTCACCGGCCCCACCCACCCCCCGCACTCGCTGGTACTGTCCCCCGTTATCCCAGGTGAGGGCTTCGGAGGGAGGAGCGGGCCTGGGGTTGGGGATGGGGACAGTGGGGGTGGTGTGGGACTGTCTGACTTCCCCTTCCTTGCTCCTCAGGCCTCTGTGTCTGTCTGGGATGAGGAGGAGGATGGTGCCATCTTTACTGTCACCAGCCGCCAATATCAGCCTCGTGATCCCATGGTGAGATCATGACTTTGACTTTTCACTTCGGGGGTTTTGGTTTTGTTTTGCTTTTTGAGACAGGGTCTCACTATGAAGTTCAGCCTGGCCTTGAACTCTCTGTGTAGCCCAGGCTGGCCTCAAACTCATGGAAATCCTCCTGCCTCAGCTTCCTGAGTGCTGGGATTTCCACGCCCAGCAACCTCTCACCTTGGATGCTTCAACGCTCCCTTCCTGTGTCTGATTTTCTGGCCAGAGCCTTGGGCTGGAGGCCCAGAGTTCAGGACTCTGCTATGTAATAGGCCGAGTCCTGTCACCAGTTCATCTCAGCAGAAGCCAGCATCAAAGCCTAGGTCTGGGATTGTACCCAGATACCCGGGGTGGGGCCGAGGGGTTAGTGACAAGTCTGTTCTTCAGGCCCCCATGCCGCCCCCACGCTCCTCTCGACGGCTCCGGGCTGGCAGTTTGGAGGCCTTGGTCAGACACCTTCTGGATGCCCGGATGCTGGAGACCGACGAGGCCTTCATGTCCACCTTCCTGGCCACGCACCGGGCCTTCACATCCACACCCACCCTGCTTGGGCTTGTGGCTGACAGGTCAGGGGCATGGGAACAGGCTTGTGGAGGGCTCTGGGCCCCAGTGGAAGGGAGGCCGAGACGAGCTCCCTCCGTCCATCCCCAGGCTGGAACGCCTCGAGCACCTTTCCGTGGACGAGCTGGAGAGGACGACAGGGTGAGTGGCCCCTGCTCCTCCGCCTCCATCCCCTCGGCCGAGGCCACGGTGAGGCCTCTGACCCGTGGCGATTCCCTCCTCCCAGGGTCGCCATCTCTGTCCTGTCCACCTGGCTGGCCTCTCACCCTGAGGATTTTGGCTCTGAGGTCAAGGGTCAGCTTGACCGGCTCGAGAGCTTCTTGCTTCGGACAGGGTACGCAGGGGCGGGTGTTGGGGGGTGCGGTGCTGACCTCATCCGCAACCTCCGGTCCCGGGTGGACCCCCAGGCCCCCGACTTTCCTAAGCCCCCGGCCCTCCCCGGCGACCCCCCTGCTGACCCCACGGATGTCCTGGTGTTCCTCGCTGACCACTTGGCTGAACAGCTGACCCTGCTAGATGCGGTGAGACCCTGACCTTTGACCCCACCCCTTTACCAGCTTCTCCTTGAGTCCAGACCCTTCTCCTGGCTCCCAGCCCCTCTTGACCTGGCTCCTTGCCCACCCTACTACTGTTTGGCCCTGCTGCCTTCCCACTGGTTGCAACCCTTCCAGCCCTGTGCCCCTCTGGTTCCCTGGCCCCCTGAGGCCCGAAGGTCCCTGGTACTGGGGGGCTTGCCTCCCCTGACTATGACCTTTAACCTCTGCTCTCTGCCCTGCAGGAGCTGTTCCTCAATCTGGTCCCCTCTCAGTGCTTGGGGGGACTGTGGGGTCACAGAGACCGGCCGGGACATTCCCATCTCTGCCCATCTGTTCGAGCTACTGTCACACAGTTCAACAAGGTGGCAGGGGCAGTGGTCAGCTCTGTCCTGGGTGCCACCTCAACCGGAGAGGGAGCCGGGGAGGTGACCGTACGGCCGCTCCGACCTCCGCAGAGGGCCCGGCTCCTGGAGAAGTGGATCCGGGTGGCAGAGGTGAGAGAGAATCGCTGCTGCCCCGTGGGGCACTGTGGTGTGGCCAGGGGCCTTCACCCTTGGCCTCCTCTCGGGTCCACAGGAGTGCCGCCTGCTGCGAAACTTCTCTTCCGTGTATGCTGTGGTGTCGGCCCTGCAGTCCAGCCCCGTCCACCGTCTTCGGGCAGCCTGGGGGGAGGCAGCCAGGTGCGGAGGACAAGCCACCAGCTCGGGTGGGCGGGGGCTCCTCCGAGGACCGTGGTGTGAGGGAGGGGGTGGCCGAGCCAGGCCTGTCCTCAGGGCCACCCTTCTCACTCTCCAGGGACAGCCTCAGAGTCTTTTCCAACCTCTGCCAGATTTTCTCCGAGGAGGATAATTATTCCCAGAGCCGGGAGCTCCTCCTGCAGGTGAGGCCCCATTCCCTGAGATTCCCAACTGCCTGGATTCCCAACCTGCCTGTGCGCCCCACATCTGTCTCTGCTCTGTCACCTCAGGAAGCGAATCTGGAGCCCAACTCCAAGAAGGCTCCAAGGCCCGGCTCCCGGGGTGGGGTGAGTGACTGGCAGGCCGAGCAGTAGTGAGGACAGAGTGTGGGGTGCGGCTGCAGGCCAATAAAGGGGACACTGTGGGGAGGAGGATGAAACCGCTTCTCAGCAGCCACAGGCAGGAAGGCGTGAGGATGCAGGCCCTCGGGCTGGTGGCAGCCCCTGAGCCTCACTCTGCCCCAGGGAGTGGTCCCCTACCTTGGCACCTTTCTGAAGGACCTGGTGATGCTGGATGCGGCCTCCAAGGATGAGCTGGAGGTCAGTGTGAGTGCGCTTCCAAGAGAGGCCAGGAGCGTGCCGGGCCCTGGGCCAGGCTGCTGGGTTCTGGTACTGGGGCCAGCTGCTTAGGTTCTTTGGCCCATGGTGGTCTGTAAACGGGAAGCTAGCCATCAAGTTTACTGCTGTTTTTATGGAGATGAAATGGATTCATGTATGCTAAACGCTTAGAATTCATATGAAAGGTATGCATGGGTGGCTTGTTACATAAACAGATAGTAGCTGGGCATCGTAGCAGTTGCTTATAGTCCCAGCTCTTGGGAGGCTGAGGCATGAAGATCAAGGAGAGTTCCAGGTCAGCCTGGGCTACAGAGTGAGTTCAAGGCCAGCCTGGACCACATAGCAAGAATTTGTCTCAAAACAAAACCAAACCAACAAAAGCCAAATAACAACAACAAACAAAAAAGGCCCAGGTGTGGCTCTGGTAGAGCACCTGCCCACCCCGTGAAAGGGCCTGGGTTAGATCCCTAGAGGCAGCAGCCTCACCCAAAAAGCAAATTCTGGGCCAGCGATTTAGCTCAATCTTTCAGCCGCCTGCCTCTCAAGTGCAAGGATCTGAGTTCAATCCCCATTCCAAAAAAAGAAAAAAAATCCTTCTACCCAAGACCCTCATTTACAGGATCGAATAGAGAAGTGTAGGCAAGGGGGAGGTGTTGGAGGGACAGAGTTTTGGAGTTGGGTGCCACCCAGGAGGGGTGTGGGCTCCCCGAAGCTGGGGTTGGGACTTCATTCCCTTCCCGCTGTCCTTGCAGAATGGCTACATCAACTTTGAAAAGCGGAGGAAGGTGAGAGGCAGGGTGCTGGGCATCCGGAGTGGGTCCCAAGGAGGGGAGCGTGGGAAGGCTGGGGGTTCCTGAATCGTGGCTCCTGCAGTTTGAGGGCTCCTTCCCAGGAATTTGCTGTCCTCGCTGAGTTGCGGAGGCTCCAGAATGGATGTCGTGGCTATGACCTCCAACCTGACCCTGACATCCAGCAGTGGCTCCGGGGGCTCCGGCCACTGACCGAGGCTCAGAGGTGCCTGGCTGCACGACGAGGTCGGGGCTCAGGGTGCTGAAGGGGTGCATGTGTCCTGACCGCTGTCCTCTGCCCTCCCAGTCACCGCGTGTCCTGTGAGGTGGAGCCACCTGATATCAGTGACTCTCCAGCCCTTCGGGCACTCCGGCCAACCCTTGTCATCTCGCAGTGGACAGAGTGAGTCTGTGGCCGGGGCTGGTCTCTTGGTGCCTGCCGCTCAGCCTCTGAGACCCCCCACCCCCGCTTCTCCAGGGTTCTCAGCTCGGTGGGCGGCCCCTCCCACCTGGTATCCTGGGACCAGCCCAGCGCGCGGGGAGAGGAGGTATCCGGGACCGCTGCTCCTCTGCTGACCCGGCTGGCCCAGGTGAGCTTGGCCGTTGACCTTCGGCCTCATGGTCTGTTCCTCACTTCCCACCCTCATGCCTCCCGCTTTGCTCTGCAGCACGTGAAGTGGCCGTCCGTCTCGTCCCTGGACTCCGCCCTGGAGGGCGGTCCTTCCCAGCGAAGTCCGGCCGACCCCCGCCTCCTGTCCCCCCCAGCCTCCTCCCCTAGGTGTCACCGAGGTCACCGCCGCTCGGCCTCCTGTGGCTCCCCGCTGAGTGGGGGCACAGGCGAAGGGGCCTCTGGGGGGCCTGGGCATGGGGCGGGGGCGTCTGTGCCAGGGGCCTCTGACTGCCGAATCATCCGAGTGCAGATGGAGCTGGGGGAGGACGGCAGTGTCTACAAGAGCATCTTGGTGAGGGCCGGAGTGCAGTGGATTCCAGTTCAAGTGCAGCCACTGCCTGGGGCTTATGTTTTATTTGGATGGCTGCTTTGCATTAGCAGCTGTGCCTTGAACTTTTGGGGACCCTGTAAGATTGTTAGAACCAACAGCAGAGAATCAGCCGTTTTGTGGGCACTCTGTGGGCTGGCTTAGCGGGTACGGGGAGCCCCGATGGGGTTTCCTGCTCCTTCCACAGCACTGGCCATGGGTAACTTGTCTCCACTGGGCAGGTGGCTGAGGTTGGCAGGATGGAAGCAGAGGTCATAGTGGCCGATGTCCTGCTCTTCTGGTCTCCGGTTCTAGGTGACAAGCCAGGACAAAGCTCCCAGTGTTATCAGTCGTGTCCTTAAGAAAAACAACCGGGATTCTGCAGTGTCTTCAGAGTTTGAGCTGGTACAGCTGCTACCAGGGGAGCGAGGTCAGAAGCCAGGAGGGAAGGCGGACTGGGGGTGGTGCCTGGCCGTGGGGGCAGTGCAGTGACTGTGTGTGGCGCTCTCCTCTCACCTCACAGAGCTGACTATCCCGCCCTCAGCCAATGTCTTCTATGCCATGGATGGCGCATCCCATGATTTCCTCCTGAGGCAGCGGCGAAGGCCTTCACCTGTCACACAGGGCTCTGCCAGCGGTGCCTCAGCCTCACGAATCCCCCCGAGGGAGGGAGGAGGGGGCTCCTTCCCCAGGATCAAGGCCACAGGGAGGAAGATTGCTCGGGCACTGTTCTGAGGAAGGCCTATCGGTCATGGTGCTTTCTCATACCAGATGTGGATGGCCATCCTGAGTGGTGGCCGCTACATCACACTGGGACAGAAACCCTACAAGGAATCAGCCACCCTGGGGCAGTGAAGTGCCACTAGTTTACCGGACACTGGGGAGCTGGTAATCTTGTAACCAGGTTGGGTACCTGCAGACAGCTTCCCACTTCTCGTGAGTCACGTGCTGGGTGGACTCCAGTTTCTGGGTCCTGGCACACCCTGGCATGTGAAGGGCCATGGGAAGGCCTCGAGGTGCTGAGCCCCAGGGCAGAGGAAGGGCAGTAAGTAGGTTCTGAGGGGAGTTCCTGTCCCACTCCGGGGAGGTTCCTGTCACTGTGACAACACTAAGGAAATAAAACAAAACACTACCTGAGTCCTGCTCCCTTGTCCTTGCAGCGTGGCTGAACTGGCTGCTGGGAACAGGGGCAGGGATGTAGCTGGATGCTGAAGCCATGGGGTACAATATTTTCTACTTGCATGAGGGGCCGAAAGGTGCGGGTAAAAAGGTAAACGATTTCCTTAGAACTGTTACTCCCCTCCAGTAACCTCCTCACCTCTGGTCTACTTATTTTTAAGTTTTCTCTAGACTTGTTACCTTTGTGAAGCAGTAGTCATCAAACTAAAGCGATCAGTCTGAAGAACTGCTCTGTGCAGAAATGTAAGAATTTTAGGACAAAGAAATGCTGGGCATGGTAGCCCATGCTTGTAGTCCTAGCACTTGGGAAGCTGAGGCAGGAGGATTGCTGTGAGTTTGAGGCCAGCCTAGACTACACAGTGAGTTCAAGGCCAGCCTTAACTACAGAATATCACCCTGTCTCAAAAAATAGAATGACTTTGTGGAGAACATACATAAATTCTGTGAGGATTTTAAGTCATGTTAAGCTATATTCAAGCAGGGTTGGGGATTTAGCTCAGTAACGCTGCACCTGCCTTACAAGATCCTGAGTTCCATCCCTGGTTAAAAAAAAAAAAGATATTAAAGCAAATTTTAGGAAGACAGGCTGAAAAGAACTGAAGGAATCTAGGCATGGAAGCACATGTCTGTAGCCTTAGTACTCAGGAGGCTGAGGCAGGAGGATCACTTCAAATTGGAGGTCAGCCTAGGGTCCATACTGAGTTCAAGGCCAGTTTGCAATACAAAGACAACCTGTCTCAAAAAACTAAAAGAGATGCCAGGACTATCTGGAAGCTGACAAGTATCCACAGCAAGGAGAATACCACATTGCATCTCGGGGTCTCGGGTTAGAGAACTGTAAATTCTTTAAAGGTCTTTGTCTTTTTTTTTTTTTTTTTTTTTTTTTTTTTTTTTTTTTGTGGTACCTGGGATCGAACTCGGGTCCTTTCACTTGTGAGGCAGGCCATGGAACCGCTGAGCTAAATCCCCAGCCCGAGAACTGTAAATTCTTTCAAGCAACCTTCCTAACCGTAACATGGCAAATGTCCTCATGCTTCTTAAAGTGTCACAACGACCAAGATAAGGGAAGGTACGGGGCTATACATGTAGAAAGAAGCAGGTTTGAGGAGATTTCAGGCTTTAGTTTCAAGAAAAGACTCAAGGGGAGGGGAAGCAAAAAGAACTGAGTATCAGCTCCTACAATGAATGCAATTTATCTGCTATACACACCTAAGAACTTAAAAGGTCCTAATCACAAGAGTGCGGACCTGAGCCAGTGCTGTGCAGTGTATGTGGAAGGGCCGGGTGAACGACGGACGCGGCCAGCCACAAAACAGCCCGCCACTTTCACATTTTATTACCCACCACCGTACAGACCCAGGAGCTGCCTCATCCCCTCCCCAGGGTGGGGTCAGGCCTCCCCAGGAGCCCCTGCCTTGGCAGCCTGGGCCCTCCGGAACTCCTGCTGCAGCTGAGCAAGGGTCTCCCTCTGCTGCTCTGACTGCCGCTCCAGGTCGCGGAGCTGGGATTCATATCGCTTACTGAGGAGACGCAAGAAACAAAGCAGCAGAAGGGAAGTTAAGGGGCTTAGCGCTGAGGGTGCCGGGGGCAGGAGACGGGTGGGAAACCTGAGATCCAGAGGGAGAAGGGTGGATTCCAAGGGAAGGAGTTGGGGGAACTGGACGAGGTTGTTCCAACTTCTACTCTAGGACTTAGCCGCGCCGGGGTGGTGGAGCGGACTTACATTTCGGCTGTGATGTAGTCCAGCCTCTTCCCTACTGTGGCCCGAGCCTCCCCCAGCTCCTGTTTGACCAGCACGGGGCCCAGCAGTTTAAAGACCACGTTGGACCCGTCCAGCAGGGCCAGTTCCTGACGGAGGGGTGGGACAAATATGACCACAGCCGAGGCTGGTACCAGCCCAGCCCCGCGCCCCAGATCCCAGTCCCTCACCTCCTTCACGATATTATTTTCCGTTAGCTGTGCCTCAAGCTTCTGCCTGCCGGACATGGATTTACTCAGGTCTGAGGGTGGGAGGGAAGCTCTGAGTGGGAACATCCAATATGCCCCCGACCCGACTGGGAAGAAAATGGATGTGAGGAAGCGGACAAGGATGGGATGCACGGGCAGGGAGGAAAACTGGAAGGGGAAGCAGCCGGACGCGAGGGCCGCAGGGGACGGTAAAGCCCATCTTGATACAGCTCTGGGTGGTGAGCGCGTCGGGGCGAGGCCACACCGACCCCGTTCCCTTACCCTTCTGCAGCTGTTGATACTTCTCCACTTCTCCCTGAAGCTTCTTTTGGATCAGTTCAGCCATGGCGAGGATGAAAGCCTGCGGGGCGGAGTGGGCGCGGGGTCTCAGGCGCTGGAAGATATTCTGGCTCACCTCTATGGTCCGGCCTGCGAAACTGACAGCACTCTGGAGAGGCAGCTCCTCCGGGCACCGCAGTCTTTCCTCGTCCTGGATATCAACTCTACATTGGTCTCTGGAGCAGAGGACAAACCGAGACCGCGAACCTTTTCAACAAAAATTCTAACCTACTCACGTTCTCTTCAGTATTAATAAACCCGGAAGTAAACAAGGAATTCTGGGAAAAGATGGCGCCGGAAGTGCCTTCGGATACATTTTGGGAAATGTAGTTCTTACATGTTTAATGAATGGCGTTCTGCTTAGGTTTTAGGCAAAATGAGAGAGCTAATTCAGAAAAAAGAAAATTCACTCTTATTTGGACCTTGGCTTCCGATTTGACTTTTTTCCATTATTCTGGCTTAAGCTCTGCTAGAGAGAGCCTGTCACGACCCTCAAAGGAGAGCATGCCCTCAGTCAAGATGGCACCAGGAAGGCTTCAGACCTGGTATGGCGTTGATTGGGTGAAAGCCAGACGACTTCCGGAAGTTTCCAAGCTGACTCGGGGGGGGGACAGCTGAGAGTTTTTTGCACGTGGGTCGTTGTTCTGCTCGTCTAGATGGAGACAGTCCCTAGGCCGGGCAGGGGTCCCCAGTCCAAAAAGAACAAACCTCAGGCCAAGCGGAAGGTAGAGGCCCTGAATGGGATGGGAAGGTTTTAGCTGTGGGGTCGGGGTGCGGAGTAACAGAGCTTTTGATCCGTAGAAACCGCGGAGATACTGGGAGGAAGAGACCGCTCCTACCGCTGCCGGGGCCTCTCCTGGGCCCCCTCGCAAAAGGAAGAATCTGGAGCTCGGCCGCCACAGGCAGAAGAACTCTCACAGCTCAAAGAAGTCTTGGCTCTCCAAGAAATCCCAGTTTCCAAGGAAGTCCCAAGAACAGAAGCAGCCCGGAGGAGAGAAAAAGCCGGGGCCCCAGCGGAGCTTGTCTGGGGTGATCTGGGGCCCGATTGGGTGGCAGGGCAGGTAGCCTTGTGCCAGGAGAGTAGAAGGTTTGGGGTCGACCGGAGCCTAGCTGCTGATTGTCTCCCCTGCCTCAGTTCCAGGACCCTTTCCCAGGCCCCGCCCCCGTGCCCGAAGAGGTGGCCCGGAAGTTCTGTCGGATTGACCGATCCAAAGAGGTGAGGACCGGCAAGACCGCGGGGACAGGGTGGGGATAGGTGGAGCCTTGGTTGAGTTGGATGGAGGCTGCCCAAGTGGCTCTCCTGTGGCCGTACAAATTCTTTGGTTCTCCTTCCTCACCAACATTATAGCTGCCGCATTCTCTGCCTAAAACCCGAAGCAAGCTTGAGGTTGCCGAAAGGGTAGAAGAAGAGATAAGCGCCAAAGCTGCTCGTTCTGAGCTGCTGCTTGCCGAGGAACCTGGGTGAGTGGAACCCCAGCCCCAGCTTCTGCTTTACAGGACACCTTTTTATGTTGCCATGCGCACTTGATGGTGGGAAACCACTGCAGTCCTGACTCCCTTTCAGGTTTCTGGAAGGGGAGGATGGGGAGGACACAGCCACGATCCGCCAGGCTGACATCGTGGAGGCTGTGGACATTGCTAGTGCAGCCAAGGTGAGGCTGAGGAGCGAAAGTGCTGGCGGGTTCATTGGTGGCGCTGGGCAAGAGAGCAGTGGGGACTCAGCGGGAGCTACTGAGGGAAGCCTATTCTGTCTTGATTTTTTTTTTCAATATATATATATATATTTTTTTTTTTTGGTACTGGGGATCAAACTCTGACCCTTGCGCTTGTGAGTCATGCGAGAGAACCACTGAGCCAAGCCCCCAGCCCTCTGTCTTGATTTTAACACTTTTCCTTTCCCAGCACTTTGACTTGAATCTGCGGCAGTTCGGACCCTACAGGTTGAACTACTCTCGAACTGGGAGGTAAGGTGGGATTCCTGTGACTCTGTTTAGGGATTGCGCTCTGCGTCTTTACTGAGCATGAGCTCTGCCACCAAGATGCACCCCATCCTCCAGTGACTCTTTTGTCTTTTCTTTCTTACTTTTATGTTTTTTTCTTTTTTTCTTCTCTTTTTTTTTCCCCACGCTTTCCTTTTTAATTTCTTTCCTTTTCTTTTTTCATGGTGCTGGGAAGTGAGCCCAAGGCCTTCACACTGAGTTATATCCCCAGCTCTTTTTTAATTTTTAAATTTTGAGACAGGGTCTGGCTAAGTTGTGAAGTTGCCCAGTGTGGGCTAGAATTGCAGTGCTCCTGTCTCAGCCTCCCAGAGTAACAGGCTTACAGGCTTAAGCCCCCATGCCCTGCTCCAGTAATCTCTGAACTGAGAGCTGGCCCTGTTTCCTCAGCTGTGCCAGCCCTGCTCTTGGCTGTCCTGTGTATTTGGGTTGTTGATGAGGCACATGGACAGCAGCACATCTCCTGCCACCTGGAGAGGAGCTTGTGTGGATCCGAGTCCGGGCGTTACCTGCCTGACACCTGTCTTCCTCCAACAGACATCTGGCTTTTGGAGGGCGTCGGGGTCATGTGGCTGCCCTCGACTGGGTGACAAAGAAGCTAATGTGTGAGATCAATGTCATGGAGGCCGTGCGGGACATCCGGTGAGGGCCCTCTCTGATGGTGGTCGGCAGGGTGTGTGTATGTGTGTGTGAGTGTGAGTGACACCGGCCTTTCCTGATTGGACCACCCGGGACCCATAGTCCACCGAGCCACCGCTTCCCCAGGTTTCTCCACTCAGAGGCACTGCTTGCCGTGGCTCAGAACCGCTGGCTTCGCATCTACGACAACCAAGGCATAGAGCTCCACTGCATCCGGCGCTGTGACCGAGTAACGCGGCTTGAGTTCCTGCCCTTTCACTTCCTTCTGGCCACGGCTGTGAGTTGTGGAGCCGTTGGGAAGATCTTTCTCCCCAGGGACCTCAGAAGGGGGAACACGGACGGCATTCGGGACAGTGATACTCTCCTGCCCTCTCAGTCAGAGACAGGGTTCCTGACCTACCTGGACGTGTCTGTGGGGAAGATCGTGGCAGCTCTGAATGCACGGGCCGGGCGCCTCAATGTCATGGCTCAGAACCCATACAACGCCGTCATCCACCTTGGACACAGCAACGGTCAGTCTGTGGCTCAGCTTTTTTTCTGAGGCCGGATTTCTCTGTTCCCTAGGCTGACCTCGAGCTCCTGGATTCGAGTGATCTTCCTGCCTCAGCCCGCTGAGTAGTGGGGACTGTGTGCTTATGCCCCCACACCTAGCGCCTTGCTTGGTTGGATTCCTACCTTCTTATCCCACTTCCGTTCTGTACTTGTACTTCATGAGTCCCTTAAAGTTACCCTTTCACTTCTCTGCCTTATTGCTTCTTGGTCTTGAGTCCCCACCTTCCCCAACTCGAATCATCTCAGGGTGGGGTTTACTTCTCTTGTTTACCTCTAACTTCCAGGTACGGTCTCTTTATGGAGTCCATCTGTGCAGGAACCACTGGTAAAGATTCTCTGTCACCGTGGTGGTCTTCAGGCTGTGGCAGTGGATTCTACAGGCACGTAAGTCACTTGATTGGGGTGAGACTTAGGAGCCCAGGCCCTGCAACCTGGTGCCCGTTCCTATCGGGTGTCCTGATCCTGAGAACAGGGACATGAGTCTAGTTCAGAATCAGTAAACTATTTCTCCACAGAGCTAGAGAAAAATCAAAAGTATTATGTAGGGCCTTAAATAGCAAGATAAAAAACAGTTATCCCAGATTTTTAAACAGTGAAACTTTTTTGTTGTTTTGAGAGTAGTCCAGGTTGGTTTTGAACTCACCGTATAGCCCAGGCTGTCCTTGAACTTGCTGTGATCCTCCTGCCTCAGCCTCTGGGGTGCCGAGATTATAGGTGTGTGTCACATCTGGTTTAAGCAATGAAATTTAAAGATATAATGAAGTATGATACTTTTCTAATACAGGTCCACTAAGTGGGAAGAATTGATTTCCCCTTACTGAGAATACCATTTTGTGTAATTGAAGTTCAAGGCTAGTCTCCCAGTTCATCAAACTTATTTGTGAGTGTTTGTTTGTTAATGCATCTTTGGCGATGTCTTTTACAGGTGGGAGATAAGACAAGTGGTGTGTGAGGTGTCCAGAATGTGTCTCCGAGACTTGCAGTGTACCACATTGTCAGGTGTCACCTGTAGTCTCAGTTGTGAGCTTTGTCTGTGGTCTCATAGGGCAGAAGCCATAGAGAAGTGAATGAGTGAGTGTAGCTGGATTCAAATAAAACTTTAAATTCATATGATTTTTATATGTGTCAAATTACACTGGCCTCAAAGCTGTGGCGATCCTCCTGCCTCAGCCTTCTGGGTGCTGGGATTATAGGCCTGTGCCACCACACCTGGCTTTTTTTTTTTTTTTTTTTTTTTTTTTTTTTTGTCCCCCCCCCCCGTTTTTTTTTTTTTTTTTTTTTTTTTTTTTTTTGGTACCGGGGATCGAATGCGGGACCTTGCACTGGTGAGGTAGGCAGTGGCACCACCGAGCTAAACCCCCGGCCCTCACACCTGGCTTCTTCTGATTCTTTAATCACAGAAAGTGGAAGCCATTCTTTCCTTGGGACCTGTGTAGAAATAGATGATGGGCTGGAGGTGGCCGTGGCCAGCAGTTGGCGACGTCCTGCCTCCATGTAAAGCCTCCAAAGAAGCTGGGAGAGTGAGGGATGGGATGGCACAGGGAGCTTTTCAGCGGGCACCTAGCAGACAGCGCCGTGAGCATCTCCTCCTCCCCACAATGTGATCCTGACTCCAGATCTAGTTGGTGCCCCGAAGCTGGAGGTGTGTGCTTCTCCTGGGAGTCTGTTCCTTCTGAATCTTTTCATCCTGCGGGCACTGGCAGGGCACCTGCGGTGGGCTGGGCTCCGCTGAGCTGCTCGGCGCTGCCCTGCTGTGTGGGATGTGGCTGGCGAGAGCGCTTGGCCCGATGGTGCACTTCGATTTTACTCAGTTGCCGTCGCAGACTTAATGTGTCACTTCATTCCCAAAGTCTCTCCTTTCTCACTGGGAGTGGGAGCGCACACCTGTCATCCCAGCACTCAGGAGGCTGAGGCAGGAGGATCGCTGTGAGTTCAAGGTCAGCCTGGGCTACACAGTGTGACCCAGTTTCAAA